TATAGTGTAGGGTGTAGTTTAAGGTGTAGGATAACTAATGTAGGGTGTAAGGTGTATAGAGTAGGATTGGAAGCTATGAGTTATAAAGTGTATGGAAGCTATGAGTTCTAGGGAGTGTGGGATTGGGAGTTGGGGATCCTACGGTAGTTGGAACATTGGGGTTCTAGGGAGTGAGGGGTTCTAAGGGTATTTTCTCTTTCTAAGAAATGTTTTCTCTCCTCTCATCTTGGGTCTTGACCTTGAAAACAAAGCAAAAGAACAAGCAAGAATTTGATTGCAAATGACCAAGAATTCAAGAGAGTTCAAGAGCTTCATTACAATTGACTTGAGTTCGTTATATAGAACAACTACAAAACAAGGGTGGAATTCTCAAAAACTACTAAAATTGTCAAAAAAGACACATTTTATGAATTAAAATATTAATCTCGTTTTTGTACCAAATCACCAAAATACCTCTAAGTACTTTTCAACAAATGACAAAAACATCCCTCCATGAGGGGCTTCTTGCCATTGCTAGGCATTGGGAGCTTTTTTTAGTGTTTATGGTGGTAATTCGGGCGATCAATCGTCGTAGAATCGATGTTTAAAATATTGTGCACGTTTTGATACGCTTTGCTCGTCTTGAAACAGATTTTGTAGGAAGAACTCAAAATCCGGTCACGTTCCATAAACTTGTGATTCTTCGACCACCAATCCGACACAATCTATGACATTTCAAGCCTTCATTTTAATCACTAATCGAAGGGGATACTATCACGATCATTTTGTGATAAATTTCGTCCATTTTGGTCTCCATTTGAGTACGTTCCAATTTTGGGAAGTCACCGAAAAATGGGATTCCGACGACCGGAAACGTATGTCATTTTCGATGTTAAAATTCATGTCATCTGATCTCTAATCATGCATAAAAATTATATCAAACTGTAGCTCTTCGAAGCACACTGGTAACGGACCCATAGTTGCGACGATTCGACATCGGGATCTTGAGCTAACTCAATGAATTGGATGTTCTTCTTTATAAAATCTGAATTTTCATGTTTCGAACCCATCTTCTATCTAGAAATTCTCTAGTTTCGGGCCACACCATGATGCATGACCTATGTCAAAAAGATCGGGTCGTCGAGATTTAGCTCGTGTCCGAATTCGAGCTTAATTGGACTCAAAACGAGCAAGTTATGAGCATTTGAAAATCATCTCGAAATGAGAAAACACAGTTTTCATAAATTAAAATTGGTTCACCGAGGCTACACCACAATAGTGTAAAACCTATCCTTTTATGGCAAGTTAAGCCCAGAATGGTCCCGGAGGGTTCGATTGGGTCGAAATTTGGTACCTAGGAGTTTTTCGACATTCTGGATGCGGTGGCCTAATAATATTTTGAGACCCAAAAAACAAGGTTATAGTTATATGGTCCATTTTCAGCATATAGGAATTGGATTTGAAAACTAAGTTTCGTCCTAATCATATCAAAATTCGTCAAAACGAGACGAAACTTTACGGGTGTCCTTAAGGTATCCAAAACTACCATCTCATGTAATTTGATGCTATTTTGACACTTCTTCAAAGGTTGCTCAATTTTAGGCTTATTGCTACAGTGTTCTCATGGTCTGGTGGCATTATGGGTACCAATAGGTTTTTTCCTTATTCACCTCGTAGATACAAGTATGTCAAAAATGATATATAACAGAGGCAAGAGCACATAGCAAAAATTTACAGCAGTAAAATGCAAAATTTGCAACAACAAAAAAAAATCTCTATGCAATCAATACGCAATCAAATGGTATTTAGAAGAAGCAAGCAAATAGAAATTTTGGTTTGCAATCATCAATAGATGCAAGCAAAAGGTATTGAAAAGAAGCACGCATCAATAGAGAAGCAGTCAAGACAAAACTACAAAAAAACTAAAAGACATGTGAAAACCTACCATAGAGGGTGCTTTACTATCAAGACAAAACTACAAAAAAACTAAAAGACATGTGAAAACCTACCATAGAGGGTGCTTTACTATCAATAAATGATGATGATTGCTGACAAAGCTTTACATCAAGATGAGAGACGACAAAATCAGCCTACAGAGAAGCTAAACGTTGCTCTGATACCATGTCAAGTTTTGGAGCAATTTGAATAGAACAATTTTGAATAGATTGTATTTACCCAAAAGTAGGTATATGTAGAGAATACAAGAGGTTGCATTTCCTTGATTGTAGGGATCTATTTAACAAAAATAGAAAGTGTATAAAAGTTCAAATTTTGAAATTCATTATTTGAATTTCAATTCGAAAGTTTTGGTAACTTCCAATATTGTTTGAGTCCATTCTATAAAATTTGGGGTTAAACAAATCTCGTAAGGCTTTAAGCCGATACTATTTTTTTATTTAAAAAGTAAATAGTTGTAGTCTCTGCATTTTCTCCCTTCTTAGAAACCAATTTCCAACATTTTCTTATTCCATTTTTCCATCGGGACCAAGTGGAATAAATTTGTGCAAAACCAATGTCCCAAGACCTCCAAAAGGGCAATAGGAGTATGCTATTCTTAGGCAGATCCTACAATGGCATCCCCTGACACCTGTAACATCCATCTTAGAGATGGATGTTCGGAAATAGTGGCTCCCAAAAATTTTAAAATCAATGGTGAACAAATTATGTAAAAAAATATTGTTTTATTTTGAAATTTATTTTTGGAAAAATTACCAAAAAACCCCCCAAATGAGATTTTTAGACCTTCTACCCCCCCCCCCTAATCTTTCTTTACTCTTTTTTAAAAAAACCAACTTTCTTTACTAAAACCCCCCCAACTGAAATTTTTTTTTTTTTTTGCCAAAAATACCCCTTTCCGTACCTTGAACGTGAGATCAAATCCTGCGAACGGATCCCAATTTCCATTAACATCGGACCGCAGTTATAATTTGTCGGAGTGCTTATGAGAAAACAATATGCCGGATCGAATATCTAAAATGCCGGACTGAAGTGCCTGTGTATTCAAGAAACATATCGCCTGAGTGCTTCTTAGTTTTACCGGTGCACAGTTTTTAGATTCCGGACTGGCTATTAACAGTGAATCAATCTCCAGAGTGAATTCAAGAAAAGCCGGAGTGCTTTTTAGTTTTGCCGGACTGCTTTTTACAGATGCCGGACTGCTTTTTTACAGTGAACTAATCTCTGGAGTGCTTTTATCAAATGCCGGAGTGCTTTCTAATATTGGCAAAGTGCATTTTACAGATGCTGAGGTGCTCATTTAACAGTGAACATTCTCCGGGGTGCATTCAGAAAACGCCGGAGTGCTTCTTAGTTTTGCCGATGCATGTTTTTTATATTTCGGACTGCCTATTAACAGTGAATCAATCTTCAGAGTGGATTCAATAAATGCCGGAGTGATTTTTAATTTTGCCGAAGTGCTTTTTACAGGTGCCGGACTGATTTTTTATGGTGAACTAATCTCCGGAGTGCTTTCAGAAAATGCCGGAGTGAGTTTTAGTTTTGCCGGAGCGTGTTTCATAAATGTCGGACTGTGATCTCCGGAGTGCGCTCAAAAAATGCCGGATCCCCCAAAAATGCTCCAAGTTCTTGGTTTGTTCCTTTATTCTTTGTTTGCTATAAACACTAGTTTTCTTATAGCAAACAACCTTCTTTCTCTGTCTAAAAAACATGTGCTGTGTGAAATCTCTCTCTCTAAAATACCTTTGTTGTGTGAAATCTCTATATTTCTCTCTCTCTAGAGTACCTCTATCTTGTAAAATCCCCATCTTTCTCTTTCTCTCTCTAGAATACATGTGCAAAATCTCCCTCTATCTCTCTCAACCACACAGACACACTCTCTCCTTTCCTCTATATGTTATTTATTCTCTCTACAAAGAGATTCGATTAGTGTGAGGAAGCCAATGGAGAGATAAAGAAATTCGTGGAGAAGGAAAACCGTGAGGAAGCTAATGGAGAGGGAAATCCGGTAGGAAGAAGAGGTGAGGAAGCCCAAGGAAAATAGAGAAACCGTGGGGAAGAGGCCGTGGTGGTGAAAGAGAAAGCCATGAGCATGTGGAAGAGGCTGTGAGCGTTGAGGAAGAGGCTGTAAGCCTTGAGGAAGAAGCCGTCAGCGTGAGGAAGATAGAAGAATGGGTAAAAACCAAGGTTGGTGAGGAAAATAGAGTAAATGGGTTAACGGGAGGGGTAACGGGTAACGGTCAAAACGAGGTAAAATTGTCTTTAACTCATATTTTTTTGAGTTGGGGGTTTTAGTAAAAAAAGTTGATTTTTTAAAAAGAAGAGTACAGAAATGTTAAAGTGGGGTAGAAAGTCTAAAAAGACCAGTTTAGGGAGTATTAGTAGTTTTCCCTTTATATTTTTCAAGATTCCTGCTGACCATAGTTGAGGTTTTCATTCTTTAAAAATTTGAATCTAAAATCCAACTCTAAAATAGACTTCGTAGAGTGGACATTTAAATAGATGAGGCTGCTCACTCATAGTGGACATTTAAACAGATGAGGCAGCTGACTTATAAAAACCTTGAACGATATTTTATCCACACTTTATTTAAAAGGAACTAGTCATTTTTTATCGATAAATATAGTCCCTCAAGCAATTATAAGAAACCAAAGAGTTTGGAATGATTTGGGAAAACTGAATACTGAGCGGATTCTCAAGTGATTCTTAGAATTTTGGGGTGCATGGAAGCCATGATTCTTTATATGTGTAAATATTTGTTCAATAGTGTATCTTTCTTAAGGCATGTTTGTACTGAGTGAAAATATTTATCAGGAAATATTTTTACGTAAAATGATTTTTTTATGTGGTTAGGTGTGAGAATATTTTCACACCAATTGGCTCCATATTTTCACATCAATTGACAGTTAATTGATGTGCAAATATTCTCACACCTAACCATATAAAAAAAAATTTCACGTGAAAATAACCAATCATGCCCTTAGAAAGAGCGATTAGCTCGAGACACATGTAGATATTAGAAAAGGTAAGTAGAAACTCTTGGACCTTCTAACAAGAAAAAGAAATGAACACCAAGAAATTATTTCATTTGCAATTGTGCTTGCTACAAATTGCCATGGTAGAGATATACAAGATCAAAACATACTAAGATTATTTCATTTGCAATTGCGCTTTCTAAAAATTGCCATGGTGGAGATATACAAGATCAAAACATACTACGAAGCACAATCAATGGAGGCAAGACAATGGCTCAGATAAGATCCTCTCTCTCTTTATGGCAAGACTAATAGAGCCTCAACAAGAGCTTTCTCTCTCATCAGAGACTTGGTTCCTCCAAGGTTGCAACACCTTAGAATCAAAAGTGAGTTTTCTGTCTTTTCAGTAATCTGGGTCTTCTTCTGGAAATATGAATCTCAAATCCTCATTGTCTCTGTAAACCTGAACCAGTGCAGCTGCCTTGTATGCAAAGAACCCAAACATTGCTGGGACCAACTGCAGAGAAACAGGACAAACCGTGGCCCATTAAATAACAGTTCAGTAGAACAAAGATGAAAAATATATTCTTCTTTTGAATCGAAGAAATATTACAACAAATCTGCGAATATTTTTTCCTAATGTACAACTTTTACTGGAAATGCCAGCCATGTTCTCTTTATAGCAAAAACAAAAGGGTTCCTTAAGAAAAAACTTTTATGGGGAAAATCCATTCCAATTTCCTGCTAATGAAGACTACTTCAAGCTAACTAACATAGATGGACTCTACATTGGAAGTTAGCTCAAGTTTTATTGAAACTTTTCCTGCAAAAAACCCTATATAAAGAACCTAAAATTGTGGGTGTGCTTAAAAAGTTGAGATCACATACGTTGACATTTAAAAACTGGTCTATGTGCCTTGAAAACCTGAAATTCTCTGCAAAATCTTAAAATTCATTTTTCATTTTAATGCAATGGGTAAGTAATTGGGAATAACTACCTGAAAATCAAAGGGATCATTCAAGAACTGGTGTGACAGAGCCCACAATCCATAAATTGCAGCAGGAATCACAAGCCTAGGGGATGAAAGTGCAAAGGCACTCCCTTTCACTGTTCTTTCCAACGAATTTTTGAGGTCATCACTTCGGAACCCAATCCTGATTATAAAATAACATTAACCCATATTAAAAAGGTTGATGCATGCGTTGTGTGTGTTAGTGTCTGTGTGTATAAATTCCACTTTGGAACCCAATCCTGATTATAATAGCCCAGAGTTAAAAAGCTCATGCCTAGAGTGAAGGGGAAAGAGAGAGAGCGAGAGAGAGAGAGAGAGGTGGGGGAGGGTGAGGTGTAAGAAGTACAAATTACAGGATACAGACAAAATATAAACACAAATATGAAGGGAATGATGCGATAGATCTCTATGCACAAACGTGTATGTGTGTGTGTGTGTGCGTGTGTGTGTGTGTGTGTGTGAAAGAGAGAGAGAGAGGCCACACACATGCACACAGAAGAAAACCTATGAAAGTTGAAAGCTTACTTCTTGGATTTCTCTTGCATAAAAACCTGTGGCACCATGGCTCTTGATATGTTGTCTGAGTGATGATAAAGTAGCTGAAGATATAAACAGCTGCAGTACAATGAAATAAGAAAACAAATCTCAGATTCCAAGTAAACCTAAATAACCATAGTTTTTTTAAAGCAGCTAAAACAATGGAGATTTCTTGACTCATGAGAGAGATGCCAGAACCAACCTGAAGAGTACTCCTGTTGCATAACTTAAAGCAGCCTGTTCCACACAATTAGAAGGGAAGAATAATTTGGGTGCATGAATTTTCAAATAATTCACTAGATAATTAGACATTTGGGCATTCCAAAAATACTTCTTAACAGTATCAAAGCCATTTGATTCATGGAAAAACAAAATTTGTTCTCCCCAATTCTAGATAAAGAACACCTGAAGAGATAAAGTTATCAAGCAATAGCCACTGCAAGCTGCTCCAATCGTCGTTGTTAAAAGCAACATTTCCCTCTTCACCTGGCAAAAAATGGAGGCGTCAGAAGGCAACATGCACATTTTCTCCATTATGGCGGTGAGTGTTCTTATCATTACAAGAAGCGGAATATTTTCCCCATGCACATCTTCTCCAATATATAAAATTGAACAAAAACACACACACACACACATAAGAACGCATTTAATTTAGACAAAATTATTTAATTCAAATGATCAGTGAATAAATGAACCTTCCTGTTAGTAGTGATTCAATATCAAAGTAATCCAGAGGTACCAATCAAACACTGAATTTATACAAAACTTGGTCTTTGGAAAAGACTCATACTGCATCATATTGGAGAAGATTTAGATTCTTCCTTCTTTCTCTGTCATTCTGCCACTCCTGTAATCAATATGTAGGAAAATACACAGTAAATATAGTGTAAATAGCTAGAGCTGCCAATTTTGTAAGATAGTGATCCCTATAGAGAAATTCGAATCAGAAGAGACCATTTCAACAGCATAATGTCAAGAATATGTGCAGCATCAAACAAAAAAGAGAAAAAAAATCAAAACCAAAAAAATCACGAAGTACCGGCATAGTCACATTATTTTAGCTTTTAAATATTAAAACAAAAATTTAATTGCTAACCACATTCAACATTGGGATTTCATGTGCCTAGCATATATTTCTACTTCTCTGTTTAGAAAAGTGGGAGAATCAATAAACCACCTCTATTTTTTTCAAAAAATTAACCAAATTTTCATCTAAGCTGCTTTATTGCAAATGTCCCTTACCAGTTACATAACTTTTCCTAGACAGATTCGAAAAATTCTTCGTGGGAACTTCTGCAGAAATATCAAATCTTTTGTTGCATTTATCTTCTTATTGGGACTAAATTTACATCCACTTGTGAATGGTTGGAGAGGAGATTGGTCTATGAATGAGACACTTACCTTTGCAACTGACTTTCTATTCATGGGAACGGAGTCTCCACCTAAAATCCAGTCTTGTGTTTTGGTCAATTTCAAAAACCCTCCGGCATTTTCATCTTCTGCAACCTGATCAAATATCGAAGTCGAGATGGATAAATTACCACTACAAATCAAGAAACTATGCCATAAATTGCCCAAAATTAAAAGAAAGTGCTGGTCTTCTAGAACAGCAACGAATTCACCCCTTTCTTAAGGATTTGAGAGAAGTGGCTGCTTATTTCTTAAAAGAACCAGGACAACCATTTATTCTCTTATTTGACTAAAAGACTAGTATAACTAACAAAACCAGGGCAACACTTAGAATAACACCAATTTCTTGAGACAATGGCCCTACTGCTTGCAAAGTAACAAAGTTTTCAAAGGCAAGGTACACAGTTTTATGAGTATTCTTATCAAAAGAGTATTTTAGGCATCTCTTAAAAGAGTTGACCTTTCTATCATTCCATGTTAGACTCTAGAAATGCCATATTCATTGAAGCTTAAACTCTGCCAAATTCCTCGATCTAGACTCTGCAAAAAGCATTTGAACAACTTGTAGCAAAAGCAATTTCATCATTCTCGAGAATAAACAAATGATACGCCGATATGAAAAAAGGTTATGAACTTACAATATCTATATGTATGTCATTTTTTAATGTTGACTTCAAAATTCTCAAAAGGCCAAAGTACAATAGCCTGGAAAAACTACTACAAGTTGGCCAACACATACCTCCTCAATAGGCTGTAGATTTTCAACTTTCACATCCTCCTCAACCGATTTGAAATAATCCCCTTTCCAGAGAACATCAGAAACCTTTGATATAAAATCTCCATTTAATTGTCTATCTTGAAGAAAGAATTCCACTAGATCTCCAGTTGCAAGCTCTCTTTCTGGGAAAACAAATAAATGAAAAAGATCACATGAATCATAGGGAATGGTGAAAATTTTGATTAGAAAATTGAGACCATTACAGTCTCTTGAAGATTTGTAAAAGATTTTCCATTACTACATGTAAGAAAACTTAATTTGATTAGCCCCAAGAAGCCTAGATTTTACAAGCCAACTTCTACTTCGCACAAAATGTACATCAATACAAGTATTACATACTGAAAAGAATATTTGCTCACAAGTTTTGTCCACAGGTGTTTGAATCAGATGCCTAAGGGTCTAGTACTTTCGCCAAAAAATCTAGTGGGCAAGACACATTCATATGATTATTATTTTATATAAAATAATAGATTTTTAAAGTATAATAAATAATTCCTATTTACTACCAAAAAACAAAATTCAGATTTCTTACACTTAGATGTGATTGGTGCAACAGTGAACCACACAAACTTGGCACAAGGCATCTCAGGTTCAAACCTCACCCTCTTGCTCTCTAAAGTATCCTTGTGTCTGAAAGTGTCAACACACCATACTTCAACAAGAATGCAGGGTATTGGTTATTGTCATTTAAACAAGTTCCTCTACACCCACTGTACTAGTAGTCATCCATGTTTTCTGATTTCTAAATATTGAAGTATATTTCCTCAAAAAAAAAATAATCTTAAGAGCTATTAGTAATATATCAAGAGATACTCTTAAGTTGTGAGCTATATTAATTCATTTCATGAACCTAATGCGATAGACATCAAAACAGTACTGCTCCTCCTTTTTCGTAATTACTACACTCCAATAGTATAATGCAGATCCACATTCATATATTTCAATTATAGAAAACACTAGTGGTAAAGTATATTGTATTGTCAACTATAGAAAATACTGCTATGGGAAAGCATTTTACAAGACCGTTATTTTTGGAACAACAAGGTCACAATCACTACTAGCTAGCTGCCGGACGTAAAATCAAGCAACTAAGGGTGTGTGCTACTGGAAGTAACATGCAAGGTAAAAAAACTAGGTTTGAGCTTGAGACTCGGTCCCTGTCCAAGTAGAGTAACTAGGAAGTGGAGTTGCCTGAGTAGAATATGAGCCCGAAAGAACTCAAAGTGGCATAAAAAATTACCTAAAAAATGTTGAAAATTAAAAAATAGTAAAAAGCTAAACAAGAAATAAACAACATTAAACAAAAAACAAAAAACAAAAACAAACATATGAAGGAATATGGAAAAAAAATGATTTACAGCTTGAAAAATTCAGAAAAATCCAAAAAATAAAGATTAGATAAATAAAGCATATGATAAAAAAATTCACATACCAATAATAAATAGCATATAGAAACATATTTTTGCATCATTAATTAGTGATTTAGTAAAAAAATGTTAAATTGTTAGGACATTTTTAATAACCCAAAATTTCCTAAAGAGATTGCTGAACATGGTGTTGAGGCAACTTACTCGGCCGAGTCCAAGTCCATTTGGCTGAGTTCTGACACTAGTCAAATGTGAAACCAAATTTTGAGCACGGTCGATGGCACATCCCCAACTATCCTATTTGACATCTAACACCTATTAGAATTTTTTTAGGAAAATTTCAATCCATATTTGCATTTTTATAGGATTGGGGAGCATTTTGGGTTATCTTGGTTAAGGTATTTGTGCATTGAGGGCAAAATGGATATTTTCATAATATAAGGGCATTTCTAGTAGTTGGAAAAGGGACCATTCTAGTTATCTTGAGAAAGATGTGGGATATTAGTGTTGGGTTTATGTGGCCTTTAAAGGCCTTATGAGAGGTTGTATGAGCATTGTATATAGTGAAACATAAACTCAGTGGGAGTGTGGTCCTCTCGTAAAACATACTAGGCAAATGCAATTTGCCGATACTCGGACTAGGCTCAACGTGCTAGGCCAGCCGAGTTGGAAAAACCCAAGGTACCTAGGCATAGAGATATAACCGATGAGGGTTTAGTGGGTTAGCCCTTGATGAGGTCGGAGTATGCCAGGATGAAAGCTGAGGGACTGTGTGACCCTTATGTGTGATGAATAGTCTATAGAGACAGGACTAAAATCTCATCATTGTATCATCACACGACATGTACATAGATAGCCGTATTGAAATAGTAATCTACCATTGAGGGTGAAGTGTGTACATATGCAAGAGATTATCCCTATGTACCATAGAGTCATGGTTGCATCACGGTCTATCGAATCATGGTTTGTCTCTAGGGGAGAACCTAAAATCCATATACTAGGATTACGTCTCCTAGCCAATTGATTGACTTTGGCGGTCCAATCATGAGCCCCTACAGTGGACTGTAAGTCATGAGAACTGTTGGGTCAGTTTGAGAAAGCTATTGTGGATCGTGGTCTACAGTTGAAGGTGGAGTGCTCATGCGCCTTGATTAAATCCTAGACCTATTTGAATCCGATTCTCATCAAAATTAATTTAATTTAATTAATTTTATGTTATTTGATTTTTATAATGTTTATTTGAATTTTTATGAATCTTCTGATATTTTAATTTTGTAATTTGGATTATAAATCAAGAGAAATTCATTTTCTAAAGTCTTAAATAAATTAAGAAGATTTAAATTCTAAAAATTCAAATTTTATTATTTCTAAAAAAATGTGGGACCTACCATTATACATGGGGGCCCATTTAATAACTTTGTTGGATTGGGTGGGGCCCATGGGAGGCCACAATGGGTGGCACACCCCACCCATGTAGAGTTGCCCACTCGCTAAAATATTGTGAGACGCATCTCATGCTAGTTGGCTTTCCTTTTGTGGAGAGAAGCCTACTTGCAATAAAGAAATGATTGAAAGTCAAGAAGGTTTGATTGAAAAATAAGGAATGCCTATTTAATATTAGAAAAAGTAAGAAATATTTTCCTTATTGAACTTATTTAATGGGAATAGGTTTATGAAGGGGAGGATAAGGTTCTAGCACCTTCCTTAGTATCTTGATGGTGGACCCAAAGAATGAATGGCTCCATCACTCATCCCACAAGTCTCCTTAGATTGATTGTCAAGATTTGCACCTACGATTTATGGCAAACCCTAATGCATGAAAAATCTATAAAAAAGATCATTCATCTCCCATAATCTCTACATCTCTTATCTATCTTCTCTCTCTAAGATTAAGATCTCTCTAAGTCTCTCTCTAAGGGGCACGCCCCACCTAGCCTACCTCTCTCTATCTGAAACCCTAGCTAGCCCAAGGGGCCACGCCCCAACCTAACCCTCTATCTCTCTTTATATTGGGTGGCACGCCTAGACTAGGTTAATCTCTCTCGTGTGGGTTCTAAAGGAGCTAGATTGGCTTGTGATTATTTTGGTAGCAAGGGAGCATCCCATAGCTAATAACTTTCTCCCTTCTCTCTTTGCTTTCTATCTCTCATGGGCATCAAGCCAAAGGGCTTGAATTAGTCTAAAGCATTGAGCTTTAGGTTGTTCTAGATCGAGATCTATGGACAATGATTGGGTTTTGCTATAAGAAGGAGAAATCAAGAGACCGATTAGAGATCCTAAGCACCATCAGAAGGAGGAGACTCAGCGTGGAGTGTAAGAAGCCCGATTGAGATAATCTTCGGCACCCTCTTTTGTTTCTTGCCTAATTATTTATTATATCTTTTATTCCCAATGATAGGTTGTGTCTTTTCTTTGCTATTGAAAAAAAGGTTTTGGAATAGCTTCAAGTTCTTGAGATCCTATTATATTTTTTTCTTTTCTTTTATTTGAAGTTATTATATTGTAAAATGACTACTTGTTAGTGATCTGGGTCCTGAAGAAAAGAAAAAGAATTGCAAAAAAAAGAAAAGATTATTATATACTCTGGCTAGATCACACAAGTCCTTTCAATTTGTCCCTTGATTGAAGAGGAATCCATGGTTCTAAACTTCTAGTTAGGGAGATCAATGGATCAGATAGGAAAGGGTCAACCCTGGTCCAAACCCAACCTGACTAGGTCCTTGGACCAGACCCAACCAAGACCTAGGTCAAATCCAAGTCTATGACCTGGATTCGAGTCGATCCAGGGGTAGTCTAGATTAAGAATATATATATATATTATTGTATATAAAGAACTTTATCAATTACCCATGAGAGATGCACAATTTATCTTCTTAAACATTTGCAACGATTCCAACTCATAATCATGTGTCTTTTGATGGGCATTTTGAAATTAAATCAAACTACAAGAGCAAGATGTTAAATAGTTTACCTCTCATGAGTATTTTCATAAATCTCCTTTGTATATATTTTATAATATATAAATAAATTAAGGGAAAGTCTCCTGTCCCATTCACATCAATACTTTAAATTGAACTAGGCCATATCCAACGGCCAAAAAAATAATTTTGTTTTGTATTTTAAAGCTAGTTTACCAGAAATTTGGAATATATTAATTTTATAGCGTGCAACAAATAAGAATAATACAAAATTGTATAAAAATATTTAACCAACATACCCCTAAAATATTAAATAGGTATTTTGATCTACCTATTTTGTTTAAAATAATTTTTTATTTTTATTTCTTGTGCTTATAAATCTACTCCCCAAATTCCAAGAAATTTAATTTTTAATAAAGCATAAAAATAAAGAAAAACAAATTACTTTATAGCCCTTGGATAAGGCTAGCTTTAATCCGAACTTATGAGGGTAAGCCTCCATGTTCTCTAGAGTCTAGACCTAGCGCTGCAACAGGCCGGCCATTCGTGGCCCTAGCCCAGCCCTAGTCCTGGCCGAGGAGGCCTTGGCTTAGGCCTGATCCAGTAAAATAAAAATAAAAAATAAAAGGAAAAAACAAAGAACAAGAGGGCCAGGCCAGGCCAAACCGGCCAAACAGGCCCAAGCCTGGCCCTACCCACAAACATTGATTTGTGGCCCAGGCCTAGTTTTGTAGGGCCAGTCCGGGCCGGCCCATTGCCACTCCTATGTGGACCATAGTTAGCAAGGCGGGGAATATCAATATATTGGCTCACCATAAAATCGGAGATAAATCGATTTTGTTTTAAAAAGTCGGATGAAAAATCGGGTCAAAAATATATATTGGCAAAAATTCTTTATGTAAAAATATCGCAAATATATGGGACTAGGCTAAAAAATTCGGAGTGAAGAAAAAAGATACATTTAAAAATTTTGACATTTTAAATTTCTAAAAAATAAGGCTATTTAATGAAAGCATTGAAAGTAAATGTGTTTAATTTGCATTATACACAATTAAAATAAAGTTAAGGAGAAATAAATAAAATAAAATAGTAAAGTTGATGATAAATAGTAAAGTTGATGAGTTGATGATAAAAAACGCACCATTTTATGCTAACTATGCTAACACCATAGTCATTAAACTAACTATGCTAACACCATAATCATTTTTAGAAGGTATACGGTGTATATATCATCAATTTTACTTTTTTATTTTTCTTATTTCTACTTAACTTTATTTTAATTGTGTATAATGCAAATTAAACACATATTTACCTTCAATACTTTCATTAAATGGCCTACCATGCCATTTTTTATTTTTTAGAATTTTAAATTTTCAAATTTTTTAAACTTATCCATTTTTTTCACTCCAATTTTTTCATCCTACTTTTTAAAATAAAAATGATTTATTTTTTATTTTATGGTGAGTTGATATATTGATATTCCCCGACTTGCTGACTATGGTCTGACCTGACCTGCTATGGGATGGACGCATCCCATGGTAGGTCAGTAGAGCTGTTGTGGGCATTTCCATAATTTGACAAATTCCACTGATTATTAACTCGAAGGTTCAAAAAATTACCAGAAAAGGAAACAACAATTTCAGAGAAGAAGGTTTACCAGAAAGAGGGCTTTTGGCGACCGAGCATCTGCGGAATTTCCTGAAATGAGTAACGCCATTACGCGCAAGTGGTAAAGGATTTTGAGTAAAATGCAGTAATTCAGATGAAAAAACGTTGAAAATCCCCAATCCGAGGCTCTCCATAGTTCTTCCTTTCTCTCTCGAGAGAGAATGGATGAGTGCGGATAGTACTCTGTATTCCTCTTTATAAAAGAGGAATTCTCTACAATCCTGCTTTCTCTCTCTACACGAACCTCTTTTACCCAGGGAACTCCTCCACAATCTTCATTTCTCTCTCTACAGAGAAATTGAGACGTAGAAAGAGAGGGCGGTCACGCTCTTCACTCTGGAGATGGATGGAGAGAGAGAGAGTGGGAGACGCGCATAATATCGTTAAAAACCTGCAACAATATCCACTCCTAAATGCTTCACAAAGAATAAAATATACATATTCCCTGTTTTATCCACAAATAACAAAAGCAGCCTCTTCTATCTAAAGAAAGACAGTGTTTGGTGAGTCTTTTGTGCGGTCTCCTTACAAAGATGTATTCTTGGTCCAAGATTTTAGGGTTCCATACGTTTTCGCAAAATCGAATCGGTTGGTCCAAGATTTTAGGGTTCCATACGTTTTCGCAAAATCGAATCGGAACGGTTAACTCGACATGGTCCAGTTTAATTAAGTTCTAGACGATAAAAAAAAATATTAAAAAAATAAAATAAATAAAAATAAATACAACAAAAAAGTACTAAAATATGAAAAATATATAAAAAATTATTAAAACAAAACACATTCAAATGAATTGAAAATTAATGAAAAAATTAGATTTTAACTCATTTTATATTTTTTATGGCTATTTTTAAAAAAATTTAAAAAAAAATATAAAAATGAGTATAAATGACCAAAACAATTTTTTAATCTTTACCATAATATAAAGAATATTTAAAAATACATTACAAATCAAATTATTTATTTTTTAGTAGTACAAACATATATATATATATATATATATATTAAATACCATATTTTGTAACATATTTTTTTACCGATAATTTTCAAGATTTTCAAGTTTTCATAAATCGATCGATCTACACTGTTTTTTAAGCTTTAAACTCTATAAATAAAATGAAAATAAAATTTAAAGCTATTACAGAAAATCTCAATATTGAAATCACATTTCTCGATACTATT